TACTCAGGACGCTGAGGCAGGAGGGTCACCAAGTTTCAAGGCAAAAGTAGGCAACTTAGCAAGACCCAGTCTTAAAAAATCAAAAGAGCTGGGGATATAACACAGTGGTAGAATGACCACTGGGTTCAATTCCCACTACCACCACCACCAAAAAAAAAGGGAGGGGGCATAAAAATAAAGGCTACTGAAAGACATCTAAATTCAAGAACCAGCTCAAGGAAGCAAAGGACAATAAAAGGAGATTGTCAATATGCTAAAGGCAACAAGGAGGGCTTTTTAAAGTTACAATTCTTGTCCCCAAAGGGGTGGTGTTGCAGAGGAACCCAGGGTTTCACACATGCTAGGCAAAGGCTCTACAAACACATCCCCCACTCCACAGTCAGCTTTTAAAAGTTACTCCTTGACAGAAGTTTTTGCCTTATTCACAGCATGTCTACATAATGTCTTATGCTTGAAAATAAAGGTCGACAAATTGTTAAATGAGGCGATTGTATTGATAGAGAAAAGTAATGTAAAAGCTAACTTCTATTTTCTAAAGAAAAGAATCGAAACTGAAATATATAAAAGTCAAAGAGGGGACTGGGGTTGTGGCTCAGTGGTAGAGTGCTTGCCTTGCATGTGTGAGGCCCTGGGTTCAATCCTTACCACCACATATAAAAAAATAAATAAATAAAATAAAGGTATTGTGTCCATCTACAACTAAAAAAAAAATATTTAAAAAAAATCAGAGAGGAACATAAAAGTAGTATTATTTGAAGTCAGGTTCAAAGTGTTGAAGTTATCCCAGTGCATCTGAGAATATCAAGAGCAAGGGAAATATTTAATTATAGAAACCACAACATCTCCTAGTTTTTAAATAAAAGTGGGGAGACCTGAAGATACATGCAATGGCAAGGGTGAAATGCCAAATGAGTGGTAAGAAGGAATGTGATCATCCTCAGATGCCAATGTGGAATCCTAAAACATTCTCATAGCAAGAAATACCATGTTACTGAGAAAGCCACTAAAATGACAGATTACTAGGTATTAAACATTTTACAGTCTTTGAAGTATTAAGCTGATTTATCACTAAACACAATGATGTTATAATAATAACCTGAAGGAGTAGAAGACATAATAATACATTCTACACTCACTATAAAATCTATAGCATGTATGCTCCTTGGTTTACAAGTCCCTTCATAATTTGTACCCATCTCAGCAACTCTTTCTTACCACATAGTTCCTAGTCCTACAGCTACACTTTTTTCTCAGGGCTACTGAATCTTTTGTCGCTTTTTGGCAAAAATACTCTTCTACAGATGGTTCTTTCACATTCATTAAGGTCTCTGGTTTTAATATCACTGAATAAATAATGTACCGTTCCCCGTTTTTGTATATAAAATCTATTGCTGCACCCTTCCCATCCTTCACAATTCTAGCTTCTTTATCTGCACTATTGTTTCTCAAAGAACTTGCAGCCATTAGACATACAATTATAAGTTTACTGTCCAGCACCGTCAAAAGAACTTCAAGAACACAGAGCAGGAGTTAGCAAACTGTTAATATAAAGAGCAGACAGTAAATACTTTAGGGCTTGGTGGGCCACATAGTTTGTCTCAACTGTAAATAAATAAGCATGATTGTGTTCCAATGAAACTTGATTTTGTATTTCATGTAATTTATATTTCATGTAATTTAATGACATGGAATATTATTATTCTTTTAATTTTGTTTCAAATCATTCAAAAAAAATGAGCTCACAGACTTGATATAAGCAGGTGG